GCTGCATGAGTGAACTTTGCATTCAATCAATGTTGAGACAAAAATATAATTTCGTACTGCTGATGCATTGGTAAAGCTATATGTCAGAGCTATAACAATGTTGTAGGAATGAGATCAGAAGATAACTAGTGCAGCTTATTTATATTAGTCTTAATCGAAAGTTATATCAGGATGGGAGAGATTTTATGCACTACTGTAGATTCTTGATGGAGAATCCTTGTAGAATTCGAATAGTTCTCTTTCTCGTAGAGAAGAGTCTAGCAAGAACAAAAATTGTTTGTCCGCATTTCACTGATTGGTCGGAGACCAATGCGACAAGAAAATAGATAATTGTCTAAAAAACTTGACGGAAGATGGGGGAATCAAATCTGAGATCAATTTTAATTAATTAATTATTAATTAATTGTTAACTGATTATTAATTATTTATATTTTCCAAAAACTAGATCAAAGGTAATTGACGGCGAGGAATCCGAATCCGAGGTCAGCCTCACTTTTCTTTTACTACTGTTTTTTGGTAAACTTTTTTGTCTAGAAAAATTGATCAAAGGCTATTGAAGGTAAAAAATCGGAACCTATGATTAGTTTCTGTTACTAGTATAGCAAGAATAAGGAGTAGTAAAATTTACGAAATATTTCTTATGAAAGAAAGTCTCTAGAACTGAGACATCGGCGATAGTTAAATGTGTAAATAGGTATCATGCATAGAAATAGATGGTTCCGGATGCTAGGGCGTAATAATTGGTAGTTGTCGTTCTCAAGAGAAACTTCAAGTGAAAATCATCTATGTGGCAACAAGGTTGTGTGTGGGTGTGGATGTAGATGTTCTCATTATCCACACCCTAGTTTACTGAAAGATCAGAAACAGGATTTCTACGAGAAAGAGCAGAGCAAGTCCGCAAACGAGCATTACTTATAATAAGAACAAACCGATAACATAGTAAACAACAAAAAAGATTTCAAATAGTCATCAGAAAAATCTTTTCTTTAAAATGAAATCTACATAAAACAATTGTATATTTTATTTATGAAGATAATTGCTACATTTTTTAAATACAACTCGTTTATTCCAAATATTTCTCTTATTCTACTCGAAGTTAGAAAATGATCGTTTCAACTTCTAGAACAAAAAAGATATTTGTAATAACCTCATTTTATTGAGAAATTGTTGGTTGAATGAAAAGAAAGGATGAGGGAATTAAGTACTCATTCTTTGATGATCGAGTTACAAACAATGAGAATAAATAAATTAAACGTGTAGATTTTTAAATTACTGGCATCGAGTGTTGTAATCACGATTTTGACAGAATGATTCAGATGGTCAGGTTTTTTTTCATTAAGTGCTTGCCGTATTCATACGACATCTTTCGATATTCTATATAAATATATATTTGTGTTTTTTTTCTATTGCATGATTGTATAATACCTACGGCAAAAAATAAAAATGTTGTCTTACTTTTTGGATTATTGTTTTTTACTTACATGTTTCTCTTTTTTTATTTTGTTTTTTCGTCGAATTTACTGGTATATAACACTATCATTCATTTATTTGTACGAGATGAAAACCTTGATGTTGAAATCTAATAATTTCATTTAAGATCCTATTATTTTTTTTTCTTCGTTTTTGTATTAAAGATTGTAAAAAAAAAAGGGAAAAAGAAATATGCCTTTACGTCTTCGACATTTACTTCATCGTGTACCATTACCATCTCTTCAATATTATACATTAATAAGCACATCTTTATTATTTGCTAATATTTTCTATTATCATCATTTAATTCAAATAAATGTTAAAAATTTAACAAATGAAACAATTATAAATGAATCGATATTTTTCTCAAATGCAAAACCATTTTCATATACATATATTCAAACAACGTTATCTATTATTATATCACAAACATTATCACTTCTAGTAAGAATAAAAAAAGATTATCTTTGAAAAGGAAAAATATATATATATTTAGATACTTGTTAATGCAATATATTGTTCATTTGGTTTATTTGTTAAATATTTACAAGAATTAATATTTGGTGAAATACGTTTTGTTGAATTACAACGTATAAAAGATAAATTTTGGAATTATGCATTTTATAAATTTTGTTTTCTATTTGGTGTACTTGGTTTAGAAAATTTAAATGAACTTATACTATGGATATCATGGTTTTCATTTTTAGCATGTGCACTTTTATTATGTCAATTATCTAAAGATCGTTTTGAATTAGTAAGTTTT